CCAGACCCCGGCTCAACACAATACTCCCTTCGGCTGTGGGAAGCCACAAGCCCCGATGTCAGATTTCATGCACATGGGGGTCTAATTTATCTCTCAGAGTCTATCTGAGGGGGTGTCTATGGCAAGATTTTCGGAGCCGATGAGCTAGCCTGTATACTGCTTCGGGAGTCAGCCGGAAAGAGTAGAAATCGGCCAAATAGAGAGAGATATCATGCCAATGGTGTTCAGGTCCGCTGGAAAGTACAGTTTGCCGCTCCTTTCTCTTTCCGACGGCCTCCCAAAGCCTGGTAGAGGCTATTATACTGCCCCTGGCGGCAGTCTGGCACCCAGGCTACACACGGGCGGCTACACACACAGTGCCCAACGTGAAACTAGCCATAACAGAGGATGCAAGTCCCTTAATTAGGCCACAGCAAGTAAATTTTATGGATGACGTCCTCCGCGGACTCCAAATCTAATGCGAGCGGGCGAAAAAAAAAGGCGGGCCGAAAAAAAACAAGGTTCCTACATTCTCAAATTTGACTCAGTCATTGTACAAATGGTTTTGATTCAGTGGGAGGAACATCACATATACACAGCCAACATCACATATCACTGCATCAAAGTAAGAAACAAAACATTAAATCAGAGCCTTTTCTTGTCTCCTCTCTTCATAGTCCACGTTCCGTCATGACAACAGACATCTTTGCCCATTTTCAGCATGTTGACCACTGTCAGAAGGCAACAAAATTTCTTGTGTTTTTTTTTTCAAAATCGGGCGAAAATTAATGCGCGCGCTGATGTCATCCATACAAATTACTTGCTGTGGCCTTATCCAAACCACAGTGTTTCAATTTCCAAACTCGCTCGCATCTGTTGCACATAGACTCGGAGGTCAGGGATGCTGACATCATTCCATTAGCCCAGGTCAACTTTCAGGCCGATGTGAATTACTCATTTGTTCCGCGATCCACGCAGGTATACTGATGGTTAGGCCACACCAATTTAATTTGTTGGATCACGGATTCGCCTCTTCCTTTTTTTCTTCTGAGGCCATGTTGATTTGATTATATGGATGCCATCCGCGCGCGCATGAATTTTCGGCCGTTTCCAAAAAAAAAAGTTTTACAACCATACTGTAAATCGTACAAAACAGTTGCAAAATGAGCAAAAATATACCATAAGTTACAAAAAAAAATTAATAAAAACTATACCAATGTCGTAGAATGCCAAAATCAAACGAAAAAAGACAAAATTGTAAAGAAATGATTAATGAAAATGAAAGATTATTCGCCAAACCATATTCTGTGCCTTTTGCTCAACCCTCATGACCACGTAGATTTCATAATGAAAAGAACTTCTTTTTTTTCAAAACTTTTTTTTTTTATTCGCACGCGCGCATCAGTTTTGGGGCTCCCGGAGGATGTCATCCATATAATCAAATCAACATGGCCTGATTTTAAAAAAAAAAAAATTCTGGTTCTGAATCAACTAAAAATTGCTCATGTTTTGCCCCCAACAGTTGAGGAAAGTCCTTTTCTTCCTAGTTATTACAGTTTTTCCATCTATCAATGAATTGCTTTGATTAAAAGCTCAAAATTCATTGACTGGGTTAATTTTGCTGACTTCGTGGCTCCTATTTTAGCAATGTAAGGATGCTTAGACTACCTATCACACATTCACGTACAGCCGAATATGTCTACCCGAACTCTAGCCGAACTCCCCCCGACCATAGGAGTAGGTCGAAGCAAGGCCGACTGTGGTCGGCTGATATTCGGCTAGGAAACCGGCTAACGGTCCGATACTAGTCTGGCTCCCATGGTAGTTCTGAGTGTGTGAAAGGGGCTTGAGAGTAGCCTCTACCAGGCTTCGGGAGGGCGACTGGAAATAGTAAAAATTGGCCAAATAGAGAGAGATAACATGCCGGGGGAGTTGGCTCACTAGATGATAGAAAACTCTAGCGGACCAACTCGCCGACATGTTTAGATATCTTTCTATTTCAGGGTTGCCGGGGTTACAGTGCAATTTTACGGAATACAGTACAATCGTATTAGACTATACAGTGCAATTCTACTAGTAAATTGCACTGTATACCAGTAAAATTGCACTGTACTAATACCACTATAGACTGTATTCCGTAAAATTGCACCGTATTCTAGTAAAATTCCACTGTATTCCGAAAAAATCCACTGTATTCCGTAAAATTGCACCGTATTCTAGTAAAATTCCACTGTATTCCGAAAAATTCACTGTATTCCGTAAAATTGCACTGTATTCTGTGGCACACCTGTATTTGGCCAATTTCTTCTCTTTCCAGCCACCTCCCGAAGCCTGATAGAGGCTAGCTTGAGAGGACTGCTTGTAATCTCTGTCCATAAGCAAGACCAGCTGTCACAGCGAAATCTTAACCGAGGTGGACAAGTGGGGCTCGGGAGGATAATAAAACTTATTTCCCGGCTCACGGCCCAGAAACTAGGTCTTAGGGCTCGTCCGTTTTTGTGTTCAGGGTGGGGCTTAGAATATATGTATAGAACGTACATTGTATATGCTATAATAAAGGGTTAATGCCCCGCCCCGAGGTGTATATGGTGAGATAATCCCTGGTCAGGTGCGATAACCACCGAATAAACCACCAAGTGAGCTATAATACGTTTTTGATAGATAAATACTACAAGTCTTAACACTACTGAAAGTGCCCTGCCCCCTGTATAATGGTACGGTCTAAAAAGTGGTCGGTTATTCTAATAACCGATCACTTTTGATATCATGGCCTGATAACCAATGGCAAATAAAGCCTTCTGATTGGTCGACGCCTTTTGGTTATATGATAATGAACTTTTACTACATTATTTACACTTTATTATATCATTTCTACTATATTTATGGGTTCACCACACCACGAAGTGGTGTGTGGTGAACCCATATTGCTTTTTCTGGTGTTTCATCTTCTCCTTCTCCTGCCATTTTTTAAATGGATTCAGCTTCTTCATTTTAGGGCCTAAGGTCCTGAAATTTGGTATGGAGGTACAGTGGGCAAATACCCCTAGGCGTTTTTTAAATTTTTGTGATACGGGCTTTTAGAATGGTTTCATTTGAGTTTTTTGTCTGTGTTATAGCAAATGTATTACTGTGTTAGTGTGCCGTGTTTACCACGTTTGTGCATGAGTCATCACAATGGAATGCAGGGCATCAACCAATAGGTATGCAGCTTTCCTCTATTCTTCTTGCTGATTGGCTGTTGGGATTTAACTTGATTAACACCTGCACAGAGCATTTCCACCTGCACAGAGCATTTCTTGCTGATTGGCTGTTGGGATTTAACTTGATTAACACCTGCACAGAGCATTTCCATACTAACAGTATGTCTGTATTCAAGTGTTTTGGTAGGTATTTCAAGCTTTCCTGCTCCAGCATTGGAATGCGGGGCATGAACGTTTTTTTTTTTTTTTGAAAATCAACAGTTTGCATTATGCAATTAAAAATCCTAACCAATAAAGTAGGGAATAGCTATCCAACTGTTGTTTTAGTTGTATGTTACTTCGTATTATAGTTATATCAATGTAAATCATTGTTTTCCCTTGTGTTTCTCATTCTTTCCCTGCCATGTCGTAAAATGTGGTGAACCCATCGCTGTATTTGCTCCAAAGCAAATATTGGCCTTTCTAGTTATATGGATGACATCGGCGTGCTCATGAATTTTCATCCAAAAAATATTTTCAACCATAAGAAGCGGCAAAATGAGCGCATACTAGTATATGCCATAGATAGCGAACAAAATACTAATGTCGTAGAATACCAAAATCAATTCCAAAAGAAAAGAAGAAAATGAAGACTTTAGTATTTGCCATACCGTATTCTGTGTGTTTAGTCATTTGTTCAACCTTCATATGACCATGTATGTTTCATAATGAAGGCTACTTATTTTGCCATACTTTTTTTTCTTATATGCGCACACTCACATCAGTTTTGGGGTTTCCCAGAGGATGTCATCCATATAATTAAATCAACATGACCTAAGTGTAAGGCACTTGATGATGATGATGCAGTCTAACGTCGGATTTTATTCTATGCAATACAACATTATGTTTAATAGTAAAACGTTGAACTTTATTTCAAAACAAGGTTTACAGAGAGATCAAATTTTCATCGACCACTGTCTTCATCAGGATAATTAATGACCAATCACTTCACAACGTGATCTCGCGAGAGTTACGTGAAACAAACACGTGATCTTTTTCACACGAGACTTTACTGATACGTGACGTGAGCAATTGATCAACAGTGCCAGGGAGTTTATATTGTCCACCGTCTCTATTAAGTGAAGGCTGAAGTGCTCTGATATATATAGCCTCCTTAATGCCTCTTAGAAAGTAGTCCTGTTCAGTGTCCAGTATTCTAACTTTTTAAACTCTAACTCTCGCGAGATCACGTCGTGAAGTTATTAGTCATCAATTATCAATTATCCTGATGAAGGCGACAGTGGTCGCTGAAAATTTGATTTCTGTAAATTGTGTGTTGGAATAAAGTTCAACGTTCAAAGTTACTACCAACACAACGTTCAAAGTTACTACCAACACAGATGAACTTTCATGATAACATTATGTTTTGTATTTTTATTTTTGTTTATTAGATGTCCTGGGAGAACTGATGTCAACAATGTCGCTGCCCGGAACGAGACATTTCCTGATATGTCTGCTCTCGCTAGTAGTACTTTCAATCATTTACTTCCAATTTCGCGTCCAACATATGTGGAAATCAGGGGCGTCAGTTTACATTTTCCCACCAGGACGAACAGCCAATGAAACCAGCCTACGGATCAACCCGTCCAATGAACTGCCGCGTCTCAATAACAAGGCAGCCAATCACAGGAAGGGACCCAAACGCACGACTGTCTTTATCGTGACGCAGATGAGAAGTGGCTCCTCATTGGTTGGAGAGATATTCAACGAACACCCGAGATGTTTTTATTACTTCGAACCGCTTCATTCTGTCAGATATTTCAAAGACCACGCCCACGACACCCAAGCTATGCAGCTAAGAATGCTTGACGGTATATCTCGATGCGAATTTGGCGGTTTAGATAAGTTCCTTACCTTTTACTTAGACACTAGAGCGTCGCACTTTGGCGGGATGCGGAAAAGTAAAATGCTACAGAAATTGTGCCGCAAATACAACTCACCGAGGGGGAGGGTGTGTCCTATACCTCGTAACGTCATCTCAGATCGAGTAGGGGAGGTCTGTAGGTCAGCCAACTTCACTGTGGTAAAAACTATTCGCGTGGACGAAGTCAAAATATTTCGAGCCATAGCGGAAGCCGGGGAGCGGACCGGAAATGACGTCAAGATCATCCATCTTGTCCGAGATCCCAGGGCAGTCGCCGCGTCACGTCTAGCCCTTCAGTACAAGAACGAGTCGACATTTTCTCACAGTCAACTCAACTCTACCAAAGTGCAGAACCTCTGCAAGTGGATGTTGAGAAACGTCCAGTACAGAGACCAGGTGAAAACCTGGCTACGCGAGAGATATACTTTACTCAGGTTCGAAGATATCGCTACGTCGCCACTCCGTGTGGTGAAAAAGCTGTACGAGTTTGTCGGTATACAACCTCACAAAGCGGTATTTCGTTGGTTGAAGGAGAACACGAACGTAACAGGACAGATTAAAGATCCGTATTCGCAGCGGGGAAATCTAAAAGAGACCGCAAACTCTTGGAGGGGTAGACTCACCCTCTCCGCCGTGGAGAACATTCAAGAGACGTGTAGAGAAGCTATGAAACTTTTGGGGTACAAAATAGTCAAGGATGAAAGAGAGTTGCGTAATGATTCCATATCCCTTATAGCAAAACTTGATGAGAATGTCATCCATGTCTAAATGATTTTTAAAAGATATTTAAAGGCATCGGATGAAATTTCTTGGCGTCAAATTAAAGCAAGATTCGCAAAGACAATTTTCTGGCTACTCTTCCAATACAGTAAGTTGAGGCCGCACCAATTTAATTTGTTGTTTCTCGGATTTTTACAGAACAGATATGAAGCGAAAGGGCGAAATAAAAAAAAAACAGGCCTAGGCACCCCATGATAGCCGGAAATGTTACAATATGAGCCATGAAGTGAACATACCGGGCTGGTTTATAATTAACACAATAGATTTTGAACTTTTAATGAAACGAAATTACATTGTTACATTGAAAAACTTTAACGACTAGGAAGAAAAGGACTTTCTTCGACCGTTGGGGCCAAAATGTGTCTTTTATTGAGCATTTTGCAGTTGATTTAGAATCTTTTTTTTTTGCAAATCAGAAAAAAAGGACAGGGCGAATCCGAGAAAGAACAAATTAAATTGGTGTGACCTAAATGCAAAACTTAGTACGATGTCGTTGACGGAAAACCGTTTCTTCTCTCTAGTATCGTAGGCGGGTTTTAGCTATTTATTGGTGGTGCCCAAAAATAAAGAGAAACCCCATGTAGCTTGTTTTGGGGATATTTCAAACGAGCTCTTTAAGATTAAAATGATGCCAAAAATGCGCTGAGAAATAGTAGTCAATGTCAGACAGATTTCCTCATCCAGAATATTTCTTTGTTTACCACTATGAAATTTTATTGGATGTCTTTAATAGAGTAAATGTTTGTTTATATAACGAAAGACAGAAACCAACAGATATATCTTGACCTCAATCCTACATCGTTCATTCAACACTGTTTACTCTTGACTAGATGTGTTCAACTGCCTACGAAAAACCATCATTTTTCAATACATTATAATCTTTTTTTTATATGCTATTGTTTATATGTTTTGTTATTCGCTGTTTTGTTACTTGCTGTTGTTTTGTCAGTGGTGGGGCTAAGACCACACCAAGTAAATTTTATGGATGACGTCCTTTGGAGACCCTAAATCTAATGCGAGAGGGCGAAAAAAAACAAGAAGGGCCCTAAAAAACAATATGCCTAGATTAGAAATATACTAAGAGACGACAAATGTTAGGACACAAATTGAATGAGGTGACACAGTGTAACAAGCAAGAAGTCTTTTATTCATCATCAAAACAGCAATAAATCAGGTGGAACAGCAGTTGTCGTCCTGTGCTTTGGGGAGATAGATGGAGCGGTCAGCAAGTTTCTTCAAATGTGGCAGCATGTACCAAACTGAATTCCTAATGGAAGTCTTGCTTGATGCTTTATAAGCTTTGGTCCGTACAAACCTATTTGCGGCACTGTTGTGACTCTTTGGTCATAGTTACAGGAAGCAGAATTTTTTTTTCTAGGAACAGGCCATAATCAATGCGCGCGCGGACGTCATCCATAAAATTTACTTGGTGTGGCCTAAGATTAGCAACCTGCTAGAGTTCCCCACCACTGTGTCTTGTACGTTTCTATGTTGCTCAATAAAAAAAGACAAAAGACCCCAGTGCTCGAGATGCACAAGAGGAATAAAGCAGTGCTTGTTTACAAGGCCCTACACGACATGTCCCCTCCCCACATCTCAGGTCTGTTCACACAGCTAAGGGAGGTACACACACACAATACACGCCTTAGATCACAGGGTGGGCTACAACTGCCAAAAGCTCAACTTCAATATAAAAAGAAATCCCCCTCTTGTACTGGTGCCACATTATGGAACTCACTCCCACCTCAATTAAAAAGAATTTGAAAAGAACCAAACTGTATCCAGCTATGCAACATTGCGATGTATGCTGATGATACCATCATATATTTTGCACACCGGAGCATTTTGACCATAACACAGACAATCCAAAGTGACTCAGCTCGGCTTGTGCAGTGGTTTACTGCTAACAAACTTTCCCTAAATCCCACGAAATGTAAATCCATGCTTGTAGGGACACATAGGGCCAAGTCTGCAAGCCGTGACCTACATCTGACACTAGAAGGTACTAACCTAGATCAGGTAAATACCTTTAAGTACTTGGGAGTCTTCCTAGACAGAGCCTTACAGTGGAACGACCACATCTTACATGTAACTAAGAAGTTGTCTCAGGCTATTGGTATCATGAAGGGATTGAAACCATTTATCAATAGAGAAGCCTTAATGACAATATACACATCCCTTTTTCTCCCCCACTTAAACTACTGCAGTACTGTCTGGGATCAAGGTACCAAGGGCGGCATCGATAAACTACAGAAACTACAGAACAGGGCGGGTAGGGTGATCCTGGGGTGCGATCACTACACACCTTCACCTTCACCTTGTCCCTTCCTCTTCTGGAGGGTCGGGGACTGTGGTAGCATTCAGCACAAGCTTCCTCCATCCATCTCTGTCCTTGGCCATCTGTGTGCAGTCAGCCAGGGGCCTGCCTGTCCAATCTCTGATGTCGTCTACCCATCTCCTTCGCGGCCTCCCTCTGCTCCTGCTACCACAGATCCGTCCTTGCAGGATGTGAGTTGAGATGTTCTGTGCTCTCGACACATGTCCGAAGTACTGTAGTTTCCTCCTTCTAATCATGTGTAGGAGTGATCTTCCGATCCCTAACTCTTCCAGGACTGAGGCGTTTGTACGATGTTCTGTCCAGCTAACTCTGAGCAACTTCCTGTAACACTTCATCTCGAAGGCCTCGATCTTCTGTGTGTCTTTCGCATGGAGTGTCCATGCTTCGCAGCCGTAAGTCACCACGGGCCACACCAGCGCTCTCAACACCCTCATCTTGGTGGACATCTTTTAGGGAACTCTGTCCTTCCAGATGACGTTCCAGGGAGCTAAAGGGCTGTCCTCGCGGCTTCCCCAAGGCGCGCACTGACCTCCCGGCTGCTTCCAGCTGTTTCGTCAATGATGGCACCCAGGTACTTGAAAGTTGACACCTGCTCCAGCTGGACCCCCTGACAGAAGATACTCAGTACTGTGGGTTGCTTAGTTGCTGCCATGACCTTGGTCTTCTTGGTGCTGATCTCCAGCCTGTACTGTAGAGACACAGTGTTGACTAGGTCCAGCAGCTCCTGAAGTCTCTCAGGTGATGTTGCAATCAGGGCGATGTCATCAGCAAACCGTAGATTGTTGACAGTCCTCCCACTGATGTTCACACCAATCCATGAGAGTTCACCAGCAGACTCTCTCATCACTGCTTCCGAGTAGAAGTTGAAGCAGATCGGTGAGACCAGACAACCCTGACGCACTCCTTTCGTGACTTGGAACCAGTCAGTTAACTCATCCTCCACTCTGACCGCTGCCTGTTGTCGTCTGTACAACTGCTGTAGCGAGTTGACTAGGTACCTGGACACACCCATATCCTTCAAGATCTTCCACAGGGTTCTGTGCCTTACAGAATCGAAAGCCTTTTTATAGTCAATAAATGCCATAAAAAGTTTTACATTACTCTCCCGGGCTTTCTCCATTAGGATCCTGATGTTGAATACTTGATCCCTGGTTCCCACTTTCTTCCTGAACCCCATCTGTTCTTCAGCGAATTCCTGGTCTGCCACCTTTTTCCATGCGGTTCAGAAGAATACGCAGAAGAATCTTGCTGGTGTGGGAGATCAGAGCGATGGTGCGATACTCTGAGCAGTCAGTAGTTCCTGGTTTCTTGGGGATGGTGATGAACACTGACCGTACCCAGTCTGTGGGCCAGTCACCAGTCTGCAGAATCCTGTTGCAGAGGCAGCACAGGGCTGTTATTACTGCTGGGTTGTCGGTCTTCAGAAGTTCACCGGGTAGGTCGTCTACACCAGCAGCCTTGTTTTTTGGGAGACGCTTGATTGCGTGTTCCACTTCTGTTTCCAAAATTTCTGGGAAGGACTCGTCTCCTGACTTCTCACTGGATGTGTCCTGTTCGTCGTCACTGTCGGAGTGCGATGCGTTGTCGCTGTACAGCTGTTCGCAGTACTGCTTCCAGCGCTGTAGGATGCTTTGGAGATCAGTGAGCACTCGGTTGTCCTCACTCCTGATGTTCCTCTGCTTGGGTTGGAACCCCCTCCTCAACTTCTTGATGATGCTGTACGACTTCCTGAGTGAGCTGTTACCTCCGAGTCCTCGCTCCATCTCCGCACACTGCTCTTCCAGCCACCTTGCTTTGTCCTTTCTTGCCTCCCTTTGGACTCGCTTGTTCACTTCTCTGTAGAGCAGCTCCCCACTTTCAGTGGTACGGCGTGCTTTCAGCTCTCGCCTTCTGTCTATCAGGTCTAGTGTCTCCTGCGAGATCCATGGGTGGTTTGCCTTTCTAGGCGCTTTTCCCAGCACCTTCTCTGCTGCAGCTTTAAT